TCTTCTCACCCTTCCTATCTCAATATCATTAAATATGCATGGAAACCTGCAAATATTGGGGGTAGTCACTAGCTCATTCGTTAAAAATTACACAAAAGGGTGGCATCATGCCTTAAGAAATGGAATTGGGACTTTTTGGGTGATGTACACAAAAAGGTGGTTGAAGCTAACAAGAAAGTGACGGTGCTTGAGACTAAAGATGCATTTTTTAGTCTCAGTGTTGATGAACTTACAATTGCTCCTAAAGAACGTCTTTTTGCTATCAAGCAGAAAGAGAATTTACTTCAATAAAAAGCAAGAGACACTCATTTTTCTGAGGGAGATAGGAATACAAAGTATTTTAATGCCACTATCAGATGAATGAGGAACATAGATACTATTATCAGAATGAAGGATGAGAAAGTGGGGATGAGTTTTTGAGTTAAAGGATATTGTTGACAATGTAGTGAGCTATTTCTCTAACCTTTTTGGTGCTCATGTGTTTGTTACTAATATAGAGTATGATTCATTTAGAAATGATAGAATCTATAAGAAAGATCTAAACCTTATCTTTGTTCCAATGCAAGAGGAGATTCATTAGTCTCTTAAAGAGGTTAATTGCAAAAAGGCTGCTAGACCTAATGGCTTTACATTTGATTTTTATTTAAAATGTTGGGATATCATCAAAGTGGAGGTTAATAAGGACAATCCAAGTAGTGACAATACAAAGTTTTTTTTAGAGGACAATCCAAGTAGTTACCTTATGTCCTCTAATATTGTGCTTGTTCTTAAAACCAACGTAAAAACTACTCGGTTTCAATTTTGACCAATCTGCTTAACTTTGATTGTCTCTAAAATAATCAATAAAATCATGGTGAGAAGGTTTAAACCTCACTTAACTCAGATTATCTCTCCATAGCAATCAACTTTCATCAGAGGTTGGGAGATTACTGATAACCTATTATTAGCTTAGAAAATTGTTGAAGATCTTGATAAAGGATGTAGAGGTGGGAATATGATTGTTAAACTTCATATTCAAAACACATATGATTCAATAAGTTGGGATTTCATCATCAGTATTCTCAGAGCTAAGGGTTTTAATAAAAACATTTTCTTGGTTATAAGGAGGTTGCTAGAATGCAATATTTATAGTATCCTTATTAATATAACCTCATATGGCTATTTCCTACTAAGAGGGGCCTTAAACAGGGAGATCCTTTATCTCCTACTATTTTTATTTTGGCAATTGATTAATTTTCCAGATTATTAAACATGGTGCAATGTACTAATCTCAAGATGTCCTTTTTCATAAAGCTATAGTGTTGGTAAGCCATTTGATTATTTTTTTAATGTAATAAGGAGGGTTATTTATTATTATTTGCTTGAATTTTAATAAACATAAATGTTTCATCAAAGTGGGTGTGCATGTGAATAGAGAAGTGGCTGAATGGATTGTTACTTACACTAATTGTACCATATCTTCTCTCCCAATTAAGTATCTTGGGGTTCATCTCTTGAGAAGCGGAATGAAACAATCCTAAATGGATTCAATGATGGAGAAAATTAAAAACAAATTCTATATTGGAGGAACAGTTTCATATCATTTGGTGGGAGAATAACTTTGATTAGAAGTGTTCGTATTACATACCTCTTCATGCTTTGCAAGTTCTTAAACTCAAAAGCTAGCCTCAGGTCATGCTGGAAAAATGTTTTAATAAATTTCATTAGGTAGCAAATTCTTCAAGCAGGATTTGGGCAAATTGGAAAAATATTTGCAAGCCTCTAGATGCAAGTTGATTAGGCCATCAAGAGCTCCATGATGTTGCTATTATCAAATTCACTAAGCAATGGTTTAAATTCAAAAGAGGGAGCTCTTTATGGTTTGATTCCATGAATTGTAAGTGTCGTTCTCTCTCTCACCTACCTACTATATCTTGGAAAAGTGGTAATAAAAAAATTTGGAAGCCATTGATTAATGCAAGGGACTCTGCTGCTAATTATGTTTATTTGGATATTGGAAAAGGAAATGTGTCCTTTTGGAAGGACCAATGGACTGATTTTGAATTCAATAGAGTGGATGGATGGGAATCAAATGAACATGCTATAGTTTATACTTTTTGGAAGGAGGGATCATGGAATTTTGACCTCCTTAAATAGATGGTGGGCCAAAGTGCTAATGTTATATCCAAGATTCCAATAAACTCTGAAATTGAGGACTCTTTCAATTATCAAACTCTTTAACAAGGTATCTATCTCTAAATCTCTTTATGCTAAATTTTATACTTTTGATAAAGCAGAGTGGCCCATTAACATATGGGTTATCTGCTTCTTTGAGTTTTGTTTTTTTTCTAGAGACAATTTCACAGGCTTTTGCCTTATGAGACATATTGAAATTAAAGGGGCTTAGAGGTGCATCTTAGTGTTGCTTGTGTAAGAGGGTAGAGGAATCACTGAACCACTGATACATTCAATGTTCTTCTTCTGTGCATGTTTGTGCCTTGTTAGGTGAATATTTCCACAAGAATATCCCAACTGTTTGGAGCAATGCTATTGATTGCTCAAATTTTGGTCTGATGGTTATGCAAAGAAACACATAATGGTCTTCTTCCATTTCATTGTTATGTGATTTTTTTGGATGGCTAGAAATGCATGCAAGCGTAAGGGTAATTTGTTCAAAACTGAATCAATCAATGCCAATATATTAGCTTATCTTTTTAAAATAATTCATTCTTAACTGTTCAAGGTGAATTTCTTTGAGGGGGTTCCTTTTACTAATGCAGGAGTATCTATTCTTAAATTGGTAAGATGGTTCCCATTGTAGTAGGGTGGACCAATGTTAATGTTGATGGGATTTAGGGTATTTTTGGTTTAATATGCCAAAGGACCTTTATTTCACAGGCTGTTGACTTCTCCATCTTTTCTCTGTTGAGTTTCGCCTCAGTTGGATATTATGAGGGTCCATATGCTAATGGTCTTTTTCTTTTTAGTATGCTGCCCTTTTTTTGCTCTCTTTTCATCTTTGCCTGGTATAGTGATTCCAATCAATGATACTTTGTTCATATTGTTGCTAGATTGGGTAAATCTTTTGGAGATGTTTCACTTTTTTGGTATACTTGTAAATTTTTAGTAGGATATTTTTCCATGGGTTATATATCAGTTGGGACCTTAAGGGTTATGTATTTTTTGTCTCTTTAAAGGGTCCTAACCACCTAGCTATGTACCTTTTGAATTTGAGCACCATTTAAACACAATATATATATATATATATATAATTCAACGAAGAAAAACAAAATTCAATTAGAATTTTAGTAATCCTCCCCCATCCACATGAAAAACTATTCCATACGGACACGCATGCAAAAATGCATGCGGTGTACGATCTCCACCATTGATCACAGCAAAGATGTATTTCGGTGAGTCTCATTTTAAATTTTTTTCTTAAATGTTGTGATCAACGGTGGAAATCTGACACCGCATGTATTTCTGCGGACACCATGCATGCGGTGTCCCTATGGAATAATTTTTCCATCCACACAATTATAGAGATGCTAAGGAGATTATCCATTCTAATGGAGCTCGTTGATGCTTGTAAAGCTACCAGTAAGTCCAACCTCTCAAGCAAAAAAATTGTATGTTTGTGAGCCGTTGAATTTTATTTTACAAAAAATATTGACTACATGTCATACCCTAGCAACTACGCACTTCGACAATAAAAAAACCAAAGAATCATTACCTGGGTTGATAATTACCCTGGCATTAATAAAGGCGCATATAAATGCTTGATTTTACAGAAAACCCCGAGTGTCTATCTTTTCCAGTGTTGTCTAAACCCTAGAAACGATGCTTGGAATGATAGCCAAGCGCATAAATTACCTTGATTATCGACACCAACAAATTAGATTGAGATGGTGTCTTTAACGGTGCATAATTAACAAGTTCTAAGAATGCATAATTTTATAATAAAAAAAGCTTTTTTTATCCTGAAAATAAAAAGGAACAAAATGTTGGGGTTTCAAATGCAAATCTCCTTTCATATACCTAATGCATGACTAAAAAGTTCATCAAAATATTTCTCTGATAGCCACATTCAGAAAGGTAATCCATTAGTTATGGAGCAGGTGGAACAAATGGTATGATTACCAATCAAATCATAGGCATCATTAGAAACATTAGATTATTTTATGGCAGAATATGTTAGTAGGATGTACTTGAAAAATAAATATGACGGGTAGGATTATTTGCAGGAAAAAAAAATCATAATGCACTTGAATGGTATCGTGACTTATTCCAAATCCGTCTCTTTTTCATCTTCTCCCTAGACCCTATCCCTCTTCTTTCTTGCTTCTTCATTCTTCTACTTGGCTAACTGTGGTGTGGTAGCCAATTCCCTTTCATTGCTCTCATTTTCTTGTCACTCAGTTGTTCATAATATGAAATTCTGTATTCTAACTTTACCAAACAATTATGTTTTAAAATTTCTCCGTCTTGATCATTAAACAGATAATTTGGATGTTTGTAGATCAAAAAATATGTTGAGAAATGATGATCTTGTTTTAATTCTTCTTGTGTGTGGGGCATCAAATCTATTTCATTCAGGAGATTTTTTAAATGATTTATGGATGTTAAATTCATTATTACATTCGAACAACACTCAAGCAAATGATGGAACTAACAATTTTTTTCATTTTTCATGGCATTATTTTTTTGGTTTGAAGCCACCAAATGGGTGTAAGATGAGTTAGTAATTTTCATGATCACTCATTTTAGAAATCAGGAAAAATGTTTGGTGAGATGATGATTCCATTTTTCATCCTCCCTTCTAGAGAAATTTTAGAAAAGTTTTGTAGAGTTTTAAATTATTGTCACCTAAATACATCCAATAATGATAAGTCATTAGCGAAATAGAAACCAAAGGAAGGAATCTTGATTAATCTATGCAAATTCACAATGCTTAGCAAATTATTTTCTCTAAAATGAAAATATGTATGTATGGAAATCACAACAATAAAAACTAAAAATACTGTATAAGATTACAGCTAAAGTGGTATATCTTATGAAAATTCTAATAATTCAACAGAGCAAATTGGTTACTGTATTGCTAACTAGTTTAGATTACATACACAAATAAGCCACTAATACAATGTAAGACTAAAACTCCCTTATCATATCTCCTGAGAATTCTATAATTCTCCGTGGTAAAGCTGCACTATAATGCTGACAAAAGTCATTCATAAATTCTCTCCTTAGAAGCATGCGTCAAGCACGCAGCAACAACACAATGCAGCACAACTGTTATAACAAGAGAAAGGAAGCAAAGGATTAGAACTACAATTTAAAAGTTCTCCTATGTTGGAAATATCGAAGAACCAATCGTTATCAAAATAATCTTACCATCCTTTCCAAAAACCGTCGCCGCGATTCTTAGTATCAGATGGTACCTGTTGGGAGTAAGAAGAAGAGTCAGCAGTTGGGTAGCCCATAGGAGGTGGTGCAACATATGATGTCGGTGGGTACGCCTGCCCTTGTAGAGGGTACGAGGTTGGTGTTGAGGGATAGGCTGCAAAATGCAAAATGGTGAGCAAGAAGCAAAATGTCTCAGCATCTTTGTGAGGGAGGGTATTTGGTGATAATAAATTTACATTATGATGAATTTTTTTCTACCTATATTGATAGCTTACATTATGGTTATTATAGCATTAAGTGGCCTTAACAAATGTGAAGTTTTTATAATTGAAGAATTATTTATTAATTCTTTTATCCACTTATCCTTAGATTTCCCTTTTTTTAATTTTTAATTTTAATTTTTTGTTTCCATTATTACAATATACGCTCCATTGAAAAAGGATATGTACTCTTTGACCTATGAGAGATAACTTGCCAGGAATATGATAAGCACAACAACCCATCATGATTTTAAACTGCTTTTTTATACGAGGAGGGTTGCCATTTTTACTAAAAGATTTGAGCTATAGAAAGTTTTATGAGATTGTAGAGCCAAAATTTCATAGTAAAACCAGCATACAATATAGTTGGATCTCCCCTTTAAATTTCAAAATTTGACTAATCCCTTACTTTGTAGGCTATGAGAAAAATTTGGAGATCTTGTATTAAATTTTGAAGGATCTTATTATCTTTAGGGATTCTGTAATAAATTTAATATCCCAAAACTAATTTCAGATTATAACTACAAATAGAGTTTTAGAAGGATTTTGATATAGTATAACCACGAACAAATGAGAAATCTTTTGTTTGGACTCAAGCATAATGTCTTCTTCTTCTTCTTTGCTACGAACCCTCATTTTCTTTTAGTGTTTGCAACCCTCTCAATCATTGGCATAGGTAAAATAGCATCAATTTTCCAATCTCTAGTTTTGTAGGAAAGAATATTTTGATGTATCCCATTTGAAGTTCAAAGGATTATTCTATTTCTGTGTATCCAGGGACATTTATTTTTATCGAACCACTTAAATTTTTATATGTTCCTCGGTTTGTATATTTTTTTAGGTTGGATTTATCATCTTCATGTGTTTTTTACATATTACCGCTATTCTAGCCAAAGTTACCTTATGTTGTCACACAGAACTTCAACTCTTTTGTTCGTCTAAGCATGCGAAAAGAAAGTGCTACGAAGCTATATGCCACTTTTTCAATCAAATATTTTAGCAATAATTTCATTAAAAGGTTCATAACTAATGAATATATCATGGGAGGTGTGTAATTGTACATAATCCAACCCCTATAGTTGCTTGATTATTCTTCCATAACTTAAATCTAGGATCTGAATAATCGACTGGATCAACTTAACCTCTACTGCCAGAAATATCATATATACAGATCGTTAACCGAATTTTTTCATATTATTCTATCTTCTTTCATGCTTGCTCACAAAAGTGGAGCATAAAAAAAAATTGCAACGAAAACTAAAAAAACCCATGTAGAAGAAATAAAATCAAAATAAAATACCTTGAGGATTACCCTGGGAATAGGAACTCATGTTTTCTGAATTAAGAAGACAACTTCAAGTACAGTCAACTGGTATAAGAACAAGTAAACAATGAAAAGAGATGAAGAGCTGAATGAAAATTGTGGAGCTGTTGCTACTGTATTTATAACTTTTTCTTTCTTTATTAATATTGTTTCACGGGAAGGCTGCTTCTTAATGCTAATCCGCGTTCAACGCGTTGTAATGAACTGATATTTCTGATGAAACTTACTTTGATTTTGTATTGGGAGTAGTTGGAAAGTTGCTAAAGAAGACGTTTTTACGTGTTGGAAGTTTGACAGATTGATTTGTTCAAGTTTTTTTATGACAACTTGTTCTTCAATGAGAAAAGAAATGTTATTTGATTTGATGAGTTTTTGAACGGCACGTAAGGTTCTCATTCTTAGATAATAATTTCATTTGCATAAAAAACTGCTCCACGTAAGGAACGGTTCTAGGAAATTAGGTGAAAGTAGCTGAAATTAGAAATTTTTATTTTCACTGGTTGAATTTTGTGCCAACATTCGAGTGTATTGGAGCAAATCTTCTGATTTTTGGAGGAAAATTTTCTACAAATTTTTTTGATTATATAGAAGAGAGAGAGAGAAAAAATATACAGGCAACTGGTGTCTTGTTGGTTGTAGTTTAGGCATAAGTACCATCAGTCCCGTATTCGAATTCATCTGAATTAATTAGCAGACATTAGGTTGATAGTTACATGTTGACCTCCATTAAATATATATATATT